CTGTTCTTCAGATGATCTCTAAATTCAGGTGGGATATATTCAAGGTCATATTTTGGCTCTTGTGGACTTATTTTCATTGTCTTCAGCATCAATATGAATTTGCATATGAGTAATTGATGGTCTATTCCACAGTCTGCCCCTGGCCTTGTTTTGACTGATGATATGGAGCGTTTCTGTTGTCTCTTTCCGCAGATGTAATCAATTTGATTACTATGTATTTCATCTGGTGAGGTCCATGTGTACAGTTGTCCCTTATGCTGTCTAAAGAAGGAATTTGAAATGAACAAATCATTGGTTTTGCAGAATTGTATCATGCATTCTCTAGCATAATTTCTATCCCCAAGGCCATATTTTCGAACTACTGATCCTTCTTTGCTCCCAACCTTTGCATTACAATCACCAGTAATGATCAATACATCTTGATTGCATGTTTGATCAATTTCAAATAGAAAAAGTTGGTAGAATTCTTCTGTTTCATCCTCATTGGCTTTAGTGGTTGGTGCATACATTTGAGTAATAGTGGTATTAAGTGGGCTTCCCTGTAGGCGCATGGATATTGTCCTATCACAGACAGCATTGTACCTCATGACTGATTTGGTTATGTTCTTTTTGACAGTGAATGCAACACCATTCCTCTTCAATTTATCATTCCCAGCATAGTAAACCATGTGGTTGTTAGATTCTAAATGGTCAATATGAGCCCATTTCAGCTCACTAATGCCTAAGATATCGATGTTTATGAGTTCCATTTCATTTTTGACAACTTCCATTTTTCACAGATTCATGTTTTGTACGTTCCATGTTCAGATTTTCAATGGATGTTTATAGCTGTTTCTCTTCATTTTGAGTTGTGCCCCATCATCAAATGAAGGTCCTGTGGGCTTTTCTCTCACAGGCTTTACTCCATTCATGTCATCACCGTCAGCTCTACTTTGAGGAGGCATCTCTTCCCCAGTAGCAGTTTGAGTGCCTTCTAACCTGAGGGTCTCATTTTCCAGCCCTGTATCTGACAGCGTTTCTCTGCTATTCACAAGGTTTTTCAGTCACTAAATATTCGGAAGTAGCTCGTAACTCTTTCTTCCTAGTCTCTCTTTGTCTGGAAGCTCATCAAAAACTTCTCCACCATGGTTGACCTTGTTGGTATATAAAATACCGGTGGCATAGCTTTTAGAATCACAGCAACTCACAAGGCACCACAGTATGACAAACTGACAGACGAGTGGTAGACTAACATACACACACACATATATATGTGTGTGTGTGTGTGTGTATGCCAGTCCACCACTCCTCTGTCAGTTTTTTGTTGTATATGTATATATACCACTCGTCTGTCAGTTTGTTGTAGTGTATATATACACTAACATATTAATACTCATAAAAATCAAAGTATCTAATGGGTAAAAGTCAAAGGAATATAAATATCAAAAGATCATGTTGAAGGAGAAATCTCAGTAGCAAGGGAAATTAAATAGCAATTAAAAACAGATACTTTTGAGGTATGCCTAAATTAGCAATAAAGTACATACCTTTTATAAAAATGTAAATTAGTACAGTAATCTAGAAAGCACTTTGCCTGTAGATAGTAAGAACTCAAAAATGTTCACACACTATGGTATAGTAGTCATTCATCTAAACAATGTGTTAAAAAACATAACCAAAGACTTGAGTAAGAATTAATGAGCCGTCATAATCACTTTCTGGTGTGACACTGTGCAATAATGCACCAGACTGCCAACTCGTTTGAACTGCAAGGTCGGTGGTTCAAGCTCACCAGCTGCTCCTCGGAAACCCTATACAGGGTTGCTATGTGTTGGCACTGACTCAACAACACATCACAACAACAATAATATGCACTTCAGTACTATACATATGACTGAAATATCTGGGGACAGTTTCGATATCTAATCATCATAAATAGATAATTTTGGTATGTTCATATACTAGTATTTTGAGGTGTAAACGTTTTGATTTTTGTTGTGTGGAAAAAGAAATACAAATTTAAAAATAGAAAAAAATTAGTTCTCATTTTTATCTCAAATTTGTATATATGAAATTTAATATAGCTATATTAGTCATAGTTTATAATTAGAAATTATAAGGGCAATATTCTTAAGTATTCTTGCTTATACTTAATATAACATTGTTTAAGTTATTAATAGCAAATGATATGTCAACCACAATATCAAAACATATCTAGTTTCATTACTCTTTGCAATAGATTTATGATGCTCAAAATAAGAGATATGAAGTTCCAGTACCATTAAATATTCCACCTACTCCAACAAGTACTTATGAAAATAGACTGTATGATGTCGAAATCAAGGAAAAACCTTTTGGCATCCAGGTTCGTCGAAGAAGCACTGGGAGAGTTATGTAAGTGATTGAATTCTTTTTTTTTTGAGGTTATTTTAATTTTAGTTTAGGACAGGTAAAGAAATATGTTTGTTTAACAGCCTTCACTGTTTTAGAGCTGTATCGGACTAAAAATGGTCTTAGTTGTATTAAATAGCTTTGCCTGTTTTAATGATTCAACAGTAAACAAGTAGCACACCTATGGGAACATCATAAAAGTTTTAACTAAAAATTTATTTATACTTGGGATATAGTTGATTTCATTATTAAATGCCAGAGCTAGTTTTCTAATCAAGGCAAAAACTAAAATCTCTTGAAAAACATGAAGCATATTAGGAGAAATAAGAAATTGAAAAGTCAGTTATGTAAATATGTCATTGTTATTAAGTACCATCCAGTTGGTTGAGTCATAACAACCCCTTATGGAGTTTCCTAGGAGGGGCAGGTGAGTTTGAACCACCGACCTTGTGTTTCAAATCAACCTTGTGATCCAGTGCTTATCCTACAGTGCCATTAGAGTCTGGTAAATTTAGTATTATCTTTGTTGTTGTTAAGTGCCACAGAGCCGCTTCCAACTCACAGTGAATCTGTATAGGTTTTCCAAGGAGTGAGTTCAAACCTCCAACCTTGCTATTCAAATTGACTTTGTGGTCTAGTGTTTATCCTATAGTGACACATCAGTACTTGGTGGTAGTGGCAATGGTTATGTGCTGTGGAATTGGTCCCCACTGATAGTGACCCTGTATAGGGTTTCCGAAGCTGTAAATCATTAAGGGAGTAGAAAGCCTCATCATTCTCCTAGGAAATCTCTAGTAGTTTTGAACTGCTGACTATGAGTAGTATCCCGCCTTGTAACCACTGTCCTATCAGAGCTACTTACACAGTACTTACCACTTATTAATGAAAGGGAATTAAGGCATATATTTCTAGATACGTTATTTGTTCTTGTGAAGTACTGTGGAGTCAGTTCCAACTCATAGCAATCGTGTATAGGATTCCCAAGAAGTTACTGGTGGGTTTGAATGGCCGACCTTGTGGTGAACAGTCTAGTGCTTATCCTACAGCACCACAACAGGAGTCCTGATATGTTTTTATGTAATAACACATAAATTTAGTTATAAATTTGTCAAGCCTTTTTTTAATCAAAGGCATCAACAATTTTTTTATCTTCCCATTTCAGTCAAAAGCTCTAAGAACTTTTATTAAAGAGATCACAGTGCTTTTAACTAAAACATTCAATTATACTTTAATATAATTTAAGTTTTTTATACCATCCTTTATTAGACAGATATCAAAATGAAGAAAATAACTCCATATTTTAAAAATAATTTTGTTTTTATGACAATATTTTTCTTCAAAAAGATAAAAAACTAAGTCATTTTATAAAAGTTCCTTGGGAAAACTCCATTTATTTGGGAAATATTGTTCTTTAATAAATTGTTTAAATTTCTCTTTCATATAAAAATTTTGCATGTTTCCCAAACTCTTTGAGTAGTTTTACCTCCTTTCCTGGCTATTATTACTTCTTTTTCCTCCTTCCTTATGTCCTTTAAATTACTAGAATAACAACAAATTCTTCTTAATAAACTACTTCTAGATTTCTTCAAAAGCACCAATTTTTAGAAATGCAAAATAAAAGAAGAAAACAATCAATGTTAACAATTGGGATAATGATTGTAGAGAGGATAGAATTAAAATAATAATTATGCCACACATTTTATATGTTAAGAATGATTGATTTATGTTCTAGGCATAGAAAAATTTTTACTATCTTCAAAGATTGGGAAAATTGAGAAGTTTCCATTTCCAGGCCATATATTATTGAGGCAATGATAAATGTATATGACTTTTTCTAGAAACCAATCCAGGCATAAAGATAAACCTGTACAAGCATATGTATTATGGTGTGCTATGTTAGTAGTACTGAATATATAAAACATAGATTGCATGCTCATTTAATTTAGGGATAAAAAAGTCCATTGTTGTAATCATTTCCATTTGACAACTGGATACAAAAAATGACTGAGTTTTAGATCAGCTAAGGAAGGATTACCATTATTATTTGGTATTCAATTATGTATATATTTTACAAATATAGAATTATTTTCTTTTGTTTCTAGTTGGGATTCTCAACTGCCTGGATTTGCTTTTAATGACCAATTTATTCAAATATCTACTCGTCTGCCATCACCATACATATATGGATTTGGGGAAACAGAGCACAGAACTTTTAAGAGAGATCTGAACTGGCATACCTGGGGAATGTTCACAAGAGACCAGCCCCCTGGTGTAAGGAGCAGTACTTAACTATTCTTGATGCAACTGATAACAACATAATTAGGATCCAAAGCTCTTCTTTCTAGGCCTATACTTTAAGATTGAAGTTTGATAAAGGGACTTTAAAAAACCTACATGTTTCCAGAGCTGCAATAGTGGTTCTCTGAGGGGAGAATAAAAAGTCATCATAAAATACAGATAAAAGTAGAGAAATGGCTTGATAACAACTTGCTTGGCTACAGTGAGAAGCAAGGTTGTAACCCAACTTCCTAACCCGTTCAACTGCATATAAAGAGCATGCTGATTTAGCATTCCCTGTCAAGTCCACCTTTTAGTCTCAGCTTTGAGAAAAGAAATGTCTAGGGTTCTCCTTGAAATTTTTTCAACTGCTTAGATTAATGATTTGATACTAACTTTGTCTTTTATCACCCAGAGCTTCAGTCCTGCAATTTTATAAGGTTATACTACTTCTCAAATCTTCAGAAAATGTTTTCATATGCTCATGAACTTTCCCCAATATTTTGTTGTTAATGGAACATATTTCATGAATATTTAATTTACTACATAACAAATAATACTAACCACAGTTTTATCAAACATATTATGTAAAAGTACATTTTAAAAAAAGTAGTTCATGCATCTCTTGTATATATAATGCATATGTCAGGGATATATTCAATAGATTATAAATGTAAATATTATCAGAACCATTTTTATGCTAAGTTCTCAAACAATGTTTTATTGTTATCATTGTAGTTCAGACTTAGATTATTGAAAGTTCTCTTTCATTTATACCAAAGAAAAATAATATATTATATTTAAATTTACTTCTTAAAGACACTTAAAATTATTACTGGCGTTATTAATTTTAAATGGCCTTGATTTTTCATTATATGCAATTTCTTTTGCATGTTAATAAATTACTGAAATTAAAAAGTGGACTAAAAGATGCCAGTTTGTTTGGGGGTCACAATCATAACTTTAGTGACTTTTAGTCATTACAGGACTCATGCATAGGTTGATTTTCTTTTCTGAAAATTGATGATGTGCCTGATTATGAAATTGAATACTTTGCAAAATAATATTTATTAACTTAAGGTGATATTTTATGGGTAGTTTCAGTAAGATTACCACATCAACCATTTCTAAAGATATTTTACCATTGCTAAAATGCATGCTGATTTATAAGTAAATTAAGATACATACCATGTAGAAAAAAAACACTACTTATCTAATTCCAAGGTTGTTTTACACCAGCGAATGTGTAGGTTTTGTAACTGTGTTTTTTTGTGATTGTTACACATTTGTATAATCATTTTCAAACTCTAAAGCATCAACAATTCAAACAATACAGACATGATTTGCTAATAAATAGATATGCAGAAAGCATTGATACAGTTCATACGTGTGTATGAGCTTATTCCAAACAAAATATGGTTAAATATGTCTCTGTGATCAGTGGATGGCTACAGACAAGTTCTCTCTTAAATACACTTGTTAGAATCCATTCAGAAATAAAAAAGGCTCAATCAATTCATTGACTTCCAAGGAGAACTGCTGGACCAGCTCACTTCAAGGCAGAGAGGTCAGCTCAGTACGCTATAGCAACAGTTATTTTGTATTTCAAATAGGTTATTTTGAAGGATGTCCAATGATCATAGGCACTAGGAAGAAAAATGAAAATTGCATTGGTGAGAAAAGGCAAAGGAAGTTGTACCAAGGAATACTTTTTTTTTTTCATTACAACAATGTACCTGCTCATTCTTTGGAGATAGAAAAGACTGTTCTACAAGAATTTGTTGGGAAGCACCTTACCCCATCTATCCAAAAACATTGATTTTGCCCCTTCAAAGTTTTTTTTTTTTTTTTCAAAACTCGAAGCACTTTTAATAGGAACATAATCTGAGTACCTCAAGGATGCCAAAATGCCATTTTGATGTAGTGTAAATTGAAGAGTGCAAAATCCTTCAAGAAAGGGTTTGAAAGATGGAAACACCACCTTCTGATATGTATTTCTCTACATGGAGACTAGGTTGAAAAGTAATAGCTTAATAGTTTGATTTTTGCTTAATAACGGTTTCTATAATTTTATAAAAAATATTTTTTATTTACTCTGGTATTTTTTTTATTTCAGTTCACACATAGTTGAATTTTGAAAAAAGGAGCATTTGAAGCCTTAGATTTAATCCTATAATGAATTTTAAATGACTGCATTCATATATTGCTATTTAAATACAAATTATTTTCTAAATTTTATTTATTTCAGTACAAACTTAATTCCTATGGATTTCATCCTTATTACATGGCTTTGGAAGAAGAGGGAAATGCTCATGGAGTTTTCTTACTCAACAGCAACGGAATGGGTAAAATAATCACATTCTGAATTGCTCATATTATGCAATTAAAAAAAATAGATATCGCATACATAAATGTAATCATATTTTGGATTTCCAGATGTTACATTCCAGCCAACTCCTGCTCTAACTTATCGGATAATTGGAGGAATCTTGGACTTTTATATGTTTTTGGGACCAACTCCAGAAGTTGCAACAAAGCAATACCATGAAGTATGATTGCACTTTTCTTTTTAAACATAAAGTTATGTATATAAACATATATGCATACAATTTATGATGGGGGGGGGTGGTTATGTGCCGAGGAGTCAGTTCCGACTCATAGCAATACTGTACAGGATCTCCATTACTGTACATCTTTACAGGAGCAGAAAGCCTCATCTTTCTCCCACGGAACCACTGATAGTTTCGAACTGCAGGCTCTGAAATTATCAGCCCGACTCATAATCACTACGCTACCAGAGATC